TATTATATCCTTGTCGTTTGTTTATTTATACATTATTATGGACACAGCAATCGCGATCACGGAGATACAGTTGATTTTCATTGTGTCAATATAAATATAATATATATATATCATATACAAAACAAATCTTACACATGAAGATTTTTTTTATTATAGATTTACAAATAATAATAGTATTTTAGGTTGTGATTTATAATATTTTGACACATAGTCATATAGGTAATCGGTAATAGGTAATAGGTATAGGTACTGTTTAAATATTATACATAATATATAGAATAATGTAACCTTGAAATCGGACAAGAAGAGTTTTAAAGGAAATAAAAATATATACAGATCTGACAATCAAATAAATATTTAGTACTCTCAACTCTGAAAAACGTCGGTAAAATATTCGTAATTTTTATAAATTATTTATTTTTTTTTTTATACAACATACAAATTTATTTATTTCACACAACTAAGTATAAAACATTAAAACAGGCTAAACAATAAGTACGAGAATTATAGTGCATTGTAATAAGTAATAGCAAACAATATTAGACTTATTAAGCTAATTATTTAAAATTAAAAATAAAGACTTACTTGTATAGGTTAAGTTTAAACAAGACTGCTGAAATTTTCATTTTTGACTCGCATTAAGCATAAGACGTATTAAAAGCTAGTTGGTACCTAGTGACTAGTACCTATCAGCTACCTATGATATATAGTTAAGAAGAGTACCTTTTTTATTTTGTACATATTAAAATACAATTCAAATTTCATTTATTTTAGAAAAAACTATTTAAACAGGTAACTATTTAGAATAGTACTTAATAATATTTTAGCAGGTTAATGGTTTTATGTTCACGTACACTTTTTTCAGAAAATAAATGTATATTATGTATTACAATCTCACTAGTCATATTATTTCAACGAATAATATGTTTAAATGTGATTTAAATAATAATAATTAATGGATTTTGGCATTGTATTTAATCAATAATAGGATTTGATTTTTGAAGGGGATTAAATAGTTAATTTTGTAGTTTTTGTAATAAATTTGTAAGAATATTTTATTTTCCAAATAATATTAATATCAGTATTCAATATTATAAAATGATATGATATAAAAAAATGTTCCATCTCGACACGATTCCCAGTAAATAACTAAGTAAGGCAGTAAACATTGCATATGTACCTAATATACGTTCAATAACGGTATAAATGTTATAAAATACGTTTAAAAAAGGTTTATTTTATGGTTAAGATCTCCGTCTTACATACATACAATATAGCAAATTTTCGTTCAGCAGAATCAATTTTATGTTGTTAGCTTTAATATTAAAGTAAATTTATCTATTATTAAACTTAAATGTAAGAAATTTATTTAGACCATCTCATAGGCTTTAATTAATATTAAATTTTAGAATGAATTATAGCTAGGTATGTAAAATATTACAATTTTATTTTAAAATGCTCATTGTTCATAACTCACTTCAAAGTTTAATATTAATTAAAGCCTACGGAGATAACACATGCGGGAGATCCGAAGGTCCATGGCGGCGTCCTTTTAAGATACAAACTAGTAGGTACCTATCTATATTTTTCATGATAAAATTACATTTATTTAATGTTGATTATTATTGAATAGCCATATTTATATAGAGAACAAATAATAATAAAATATTGTTCCTATTATATTTTAAATTTCATCAGCTACCTACTTCAACAGGTATTTATTAATTATTATTCTATATATAAATTATAAGTAAGGCTCAGTGGAATTTTTACATTGAAAATCATGAAAATATTTACAAAAATTGATATGTTTATAAATATGCAGTTAAAATTGTTTAATTGTGTAAACACGTAAAATAATAAATAAATGTACAAATAAAAAGGAAATTTTTACATTTTAAACATACGGCAAAAATGTGTTTATATTAATCAAAAAATGAAGAAAAATTCTGAAAAAAAAATGAATCTTCAAGGTACAAGTGACGAGACAAACGTGTGGGCACGTAGGTAACTATAGATAAACAGTCTGCGATGACCTGATAACCGACTGGCGACTACGCGTCGTTGAAAACTATTAAAAGAAACCTAAACGTTCATCGTCAGATATTTTATCTTTGTTTGATAAATGTCAAAAATAATTAAACTCGTTAGCAAACAAAAAATATTTTGATTACCTATAACATCATAAATAGTTAATTATTTTATACTGTCCTAAATGAAAAAATAAGTAAATATATTCAACATATCGTAAATAAGACCAGAAAATGTTCTCTGTAGAAAATGTATGTATTAATAAAATGTGCAAAAATATACAATTTTTTTTTTGTTTGTTTTAAACAACTTAAAACATATTCCTATCTTTTGGAATACCTATCTATTTGTAAAAATATCGAATTCAATATACCCAATAAAAAATAATTCCCCAGCTCTAATTATGTTAACTATATCTATTGCCTCCAGACAAAGTTGTAACGGTTTTAAAATGGTCTATAAGAAATTTGCATCAATAATCAAGAAATCTTTCTGATTGATCAAAACATTCGTTTATCAACGATATAAATTACATTAAGGTGATTCGATACTAACTGGTTCAATAAAGGCAACTTTTTAATAGCATATCAACTTACGTGTCGAATAAATGTGAACGTAAATAAATGCACAAATGTTGATCATTGACATTATCCATTATCTCATCAGTGTAGAATAAATCGTGGTGCATCCCTGGTTACCACTCTACATGTTAACAAAATTGTATATTTGTATGGTAGGTAGCCGATGAGTAGTATTTTCTAATATAAAAGCGTGTATAATACTTAATTGTTGTCCATCATACTCACCGAAAAAGTCGGTCCTAAGACAATACTAAATTTATCTAACTTGTTAAATGCACCAAGAAGTCTCAAATCTGAAAACGTCTGTAGCCAATGTACCTAGGTCCTAGATAGGCAATTCTTTTATTTTGTAAGTCTTTACGTAAAAAAAAAGTAGGTATTCAAATATTTTTTTAATCCACAAACAATAGATTAATCGAATAAAAAATTTAGCTTTCAGTAAATGAAAAATCAAATTTAGTAACGTAACATGTTGATTTATATGAGATGTGAACATTATTTCCTCTTTATTTGTATAAGTAAGAATTGCCATATTGGGATCATTGGCAGGCGGCGAAGGGCGAGAGCAGCGATCTTTGATAATGTAAGTTTACCCCCATTCCTTTTTTGATAATTTTTAATTAAAAAAAAATATTATCTTAAATACATTGTAGATTTGTAGCCTAGTAGAGATTACTGTTTGTTATTTCTGATTAACTTTTTTTTTCAAAAGAAATTCACCCTTTTTCTTGTATACTGTTAAGCAGATTTTTTAATGCTAATCAATTTGAATCAGAATTTAAATAGATTTTAAAAACAGTCTAAGATTATATTTTAGAAAATAATAGTACCTAATTCAGAGTGTCAAACCACCAACTTAATAGCATAAAAACATATTTTTGGAAAATAGTGAGGACTCGTTTTATAGTGGTTTTAGAGTAAAATCACTAATATATAACACAACTTAAAGTAAATAATATTTCAGAGACAATTTTATACTATTTTTTCTAAGTAGTGCGTAATAAAAATATTAGCTATTTAAAAAAAAGTAAAATTAATCTAAACATTTTATTATTCATAAATATTACATTTATTTTATATATTTTTAAAATAATTCCTAAAGTACTATATTATATTGTTCTTAAATACACATTATACATATTTTATATAAACCTACTCAATAAGATAGAATTGATACTACACAGTTAAGTGAATTCCCTTTTAATTTAGGTTTTGTTACAGTATTTAATAAAAAAAAAAAAATAACATTTACAAAATAGTAATTCAATGTGTGCTTCACAAGCTTCTAATTAAGAACAACTGATGGACCTTTAACAGTTTTAATGTCAGTATTTTAAATTAATCGTGTTCAGACATTTATTATTTTTTAATTAGGTGTGATATAGAGTAATGTTCAATAAGCTTATATACTACATTTTAAAAATATATTCATACAAACTTCTTCAACCATCAACCATATTATTAAAGTGTAACTAGGTATTAGAACTAATTAAAACAAAATAAGTTATGTGCAGGATTTTCTTTTGAAAAAATAAAATCAATGTCAGTACACAGTTTATGCAGTATTTGTGATAAGTTTGGTGACTAATTGTTTCAACTGTTCAGTAGAGAAAGATATGGGGTGTTCGATGCGAAGACCAAGACCACGGTCCCAAACCAAAGAAGCTAATACTCCAAGAGCACGGGATACTCCAAATAATACTGTGTAGTAGTTCATTTCTTTTAAACCATAGTACTATAAAATAATATTTATAATGTATAAATGATGTGATAGTAACCGGGCGATTCTTTTATTAAACAATACTCATTATTTCAAAAGTTTTATAACATATTTTTTTTTATATTTTCATTGTTCACGTAATTTAAATATTTAACATATACAACTTTACTAAAAAGTAAGTTCAGTACTGAAATAAAGAATAGAGTATTATTATAATTTAAAACTACAAGACTTTATAATTGTATAAGCAAAATAACAGTTTATAATTCATAATGATGTGATGTTAATATTTTATGTTGTCACGTATAACTAATCAACAATAGATTTTTAAAAGAATAGTTATAAAACTACAAAACTTCATTATTTTACAATAAAATTGTTTTCAATACAAGCATGTAAAAGTAATTATTGTCCAATGCATTAAAATCAAATATGCATTTGTCAAACATAACCAACCAACAATATCTAATAATAATTTATCATCTATTTAATAATTTAAACTAATAAATAACAGCAATATTATACTCCAAGAAATCAGGAGAAAGCAAAATGGAATTTTTTTCTTGATTACAGACATTGTACTTGGGAAATTTTCAAATGAAAAACCAAATCACATTACTAGATTCAACATTTTACTTTAAGAATGAAAAAAAAATTGAAACATACTATTATCAATTTTAAATGGATATATTAAAAAACAGATATAATGACTTAATTACATTGACAAGGTAAGAAATTAATTGGACGGGGTTTCAAGAAATTAAAACAAAATAAGTTATGTGCAGAGTTTTCTTTTGAAAAAATAAAAATCATTGTCAGTACACAGTTTATGCAGCCTTAGCAGTAAGTTTGGTGACCAATTCCTTCATCTTTTCAGTAGAGAAAGATTTGGGGCGTTCGATGGGAAGACCAAGACCACGGTCCCAAACCAAAGAAGCTAATACTCCAAGAGCACGGGATACTCCAAACAATACTGTGTAGTAGTTCATTTCTTTTAAGCCGTAGTACTATAAAATAATATTTATAATGTATAAATAATTTGTGACAGTATCCAGGAGATTCTTTTATCAGGCAATACTCATTATTTCAAATTTTTTTGAAAATATAAAATATGATTTTATCTTTAAAAAATATTTTTACTTTTACTGAAAATTATGTAAAAATATATTTTCCAATAATGAGCGTTGTTCAATAAAAGAATCACCTTTTTTAAACATAAATATATTAAATTGTATAATTAAGTAAATTCACACACCTGTAATAAAACTCCTGAGTGAGCATCTACATTGGGCCATGGATTCTTAACCTTTCCAAGGTCATTAAGTACTGGGGGTACAACTTCAAATACTTGTGATACTAAATTGAACAATGGATCTTTAGGTAGATGTTTCAAAGCAAACTCACGCTGGCAAGTGTAACGTGGGTCAGTTTTACGTAAAACAGCATGTCCATAACCAGGTACAACTTGTCCACTTTTCAATGTTTTTAAAATGAATTCTTTAAGTTGTTCTTTGGTTACAGAATCTCCAACTTCTTGACGCAATTTTTGTAACCACACCAAAACCTAAAGACCATATTAATATTTATTTATTTTTAATGTATATTACTTAATTATATTATCATAAAACTATTAATTCATTATAAACACAAGATACTCCAAGTTAAATCAAACATTTAAATATTTAATATAATATATATCTTAAAGATTATTACCTCTTGGTTAGCAAGTCCATGCAATGGACCAGCAAGGCCAGCCATACCAGCACTGAATGAAAGATACGGATCAGATAAAGCTGATCCAACTAAATGGGTTGTATGAGCCGATACATTACCACCCTCGTGGTCAGAATGGATGGTTAAGTATAATCGCATAAGTTCTACAAATTCTTCAGAATTATTAGCTCCCAACATGGAAGTAAAGTTTGCACTCCAATCACGTTCAGTGTCAATAGTGCCAACTTGATTTCCACCATGATAAATGTTTCTGTAGATTGTTGCTGCAATTACTGGTAATTTGGCAATCAAATCCATGGAGTCTTCATATGTATACTAAATCAATACAATTATATCATATAGTTATTATAAAATTAAAATTTTATGTTTTTGACATAACATAAACATTGTATACATTTTGTACATAATATATATCTAATCAAAAAATATTTATTATTGAATAAATAACAAATTGTAATAGTTGATTAAAATTTAGTTTTTGATTTTTTTTTAATGTTGAAAAAGTTTGATTCATTAAATTAATGGCTAATTATAAATTTTTAATTTTTTTCTTATATAAATTTAATTCAATTTGACAACTGACTACTTTAATTAAATATATTTTAGGATGCTTTCTTAGGATACTCCAGTATTAATTTTATAGTAGGAAGAATTATAATTAGGTATTATGTTTTAGAATGAAAAGCAAGTCTTCATATTATGACTTTAAAATTAAGTATAGAGGGTAGAAAAAAGTTTAATTTGAAAAACAATATCACATCAAATGAAAACAACAAAGAATGACTGCAATTTTTTTAAATGACATCTATTGCCAATTTTGTGCATTTGGTTAATTTTAAATTGATATGATAATTAATTTTTTATACGTATACAGAAATATTTTTAAAGTTTGCTGATATTTCAGGGAGGGTTGCAGGTCCCTCAGGATTTTACTACTATGTCAACAAATTATTTTTTAGTTTCGGAATGAAGAAATATTAAATAGAATAAACTAGTGTTTTTCCATTTTATTTTTCAATAACATAAAAGCATTAAAATTTATAACCAACTAATGAGTCCTTGAAAACTAAAGCTAAGAACACTTACCTCCCAGTATTGTGACTTGTGAACTCCATTAGTATAGGCTTGCACAAATTTGCTTTCTGAATTAAGCAAAGCAACCGCTGATGTTAATTGTGTCATGGGATGTACAGTATTGGGTAGGTTGTTAAGCATGGTGACAACATGTGATGGTAATTCAGCACGTTCAGCCCAAGTTTTAGACACCCATTTAACTTGTTCGGGTGTTGGAATTTCTCCAGTTATCAATAGCCAAAATAATCCTTCAGGAAGAGGTTCACTACCACCAGGTGCTTTAGGTAATAACTTTTGACATTCAGGAATAGAATAACCACGGAATCGAATACCCTCGTCAGCGTCTAATACAGATGTCTCTGTAACTAAAGCCTTGATACCTCTCATGCCACCATACATCTAAACAAATTACAACATTTAATATATTTAAATATAAATAATATATATTCAATTACCATGTCTACAGTCACATCACCGACAACTGTAGATCCATGTTGCTTTCTGAAGGCTTTGATTTCCTCTCCACTCTGCTTTAGTTTTTCAGCAACTACAGTTTTCAGATCAGTAGAACATCCCATTGAGCGAGAAGCAGTCCATAATGGAGAAGCAACCTAATAGTTATATTTAGTAATTTATAATTAAAAAAATGTATTACATATATATATATATATATTATAGAATATACTTAAATTTATAATAAAGGAAATAAGAAAAAGTTCATTTTTCAACAAACATGGTAAAATTTTGTGAGCTTTTTTTTTAAATAGTTGCATAATTTAATTTTGTGAAATTTCTATACTCGGAAAAGTAAGACTATCTTTTTGGTTAACATACAATCACAAAAATTTCAAAAAATATTATCTTTAATAATTTTATCACACAAAAATTAGAAATTAATTAATATACTATTTATATACTTCAATAAAGAGTGAATAATTTTTTTTTGTTTAATTTCTATTATAATAATAAGCACATGGTAATAAATAAAATTATATTATTTAAATGGATAAAAAATACTTTGTAGCACATATAGGTGGCCAGATATCATATGTCACACCCACACGTGTTTTATCCATCATATAAACATAAAATATTGTAATTTGCATTTTATAATATGTTAAATTTACTACAACTTTAAAAATAATTAAGTAAAATAGATAAATGTGAATGTACAATTTGCTAAAATGTACTTTTGTAAGACAAACATAAGATATTATGCGGGTGTGGTGTGTTCTTAGGTTAGACAATAAAGTTGGAATGGTAAATCTGTGACACATGTGCCTAAAATGGCACCCAAAAAATAAAAATATATTTTAAATAATTTATAAAAAGACCACAATGTAAATACTTTTTAATTATAGTTTACATCTTCTAGAAAATTGAATAGGAGGTTATTCAACCTATTTGTATGAGTCAATTCAATCTTTTTTAAATTAATTTTATTGAGTTTAATTTAAGAAATAAACTAACAGATGAACAATGCCACATATACCTAATTATAAGCCAATTATAAAAGAAATAGAATCAAGTGTACCAATACAATAAATATATATAAATTAATACACATTTTAATATTTTTTTTTTATTTATATATTTTATAACTTAATAGCACACACAAAAAAAAAAAAATCATGCAATTGTTGGCGTGTCAGGTTAGAAATATTTGCCATCCATACAATAAGTCATGTATTTATGTATACAAAAAAATATGAGGTTCCTACATATTAAATAAAATCCAATTTTTTTTTAATGATAAGATAATTTAAAAATAATTTTGAATATCGATTGATTATTTTTATTAATAATATTGATTTACTGCACATTAAATAATTTAATTATGTGTAGTATTTTTAATGATATCAAATTGAATACAATTATTTAAATAAGATAACATCACTAATACTCTAGGTTAAATATAGGTTTATTACTGAAAATATTTTCATTTAATTTGATAATTAAATGAAATAATAAAATTATTTAAATAAACCTACAGATAATCTTAAATAAAAAATATTTCACTTAAATTTGTTAAAGGTTTTAATTATAATAAGCTAATAAGTAATCATAACATTTATTTTATGCATATTAATTATGTAATTATAATTTTTTTAAAGTTATATAAGAGTAAGTAATTAATTAATTTTATTAGGATAGTTCGGAAACATTGTAGTTCTAGTTTTACTATGGGTTTTATCATAGTAGCATTCTTTTAAAACACTAAACCTAGGTGTAATAAAATTAAATAGGCTCTTTGACAATAACTTTAAAAATTTTAAACCTCTTAAAAAAAAATAAATTAAAAATCTTGTTACAAAAAATTATTTGAATAATTTATTTCAAAACCCATTTTATTTAAATAAATAGATAAAAAGATACTTAGACTATTTTATTAAGTTTTTACATTTTTAATTTTTGAAGCTAGATATATTTTTGAGAATATTAATTAATAAAATTGAAATTTTAACCTAGTAGTTAAAAAATTTAAAATTGAAATAAATAGACCAACATTTTGCTATATATCTCTTAAATTGTTCATTTGAATTTTCAATATTAAATGACTAATTAATTATAATTCTTGTTTTTTTTTTTTTTAAGGGTAAACCAAATTTAGTTTGATTATAAATATTGCCACAAAGTTTAAATTACTGTATACTACTTCATTAGTAAATATAATGTTTATTTTAAAAATCAAGATTTATATCTTGAACTTAATAGTTTTATAAATCAATATACTATCACACTGACATGATTTTAATATTTTTAAAATCTTGTTAAATTTATCTTGAACTTAGGTTACAATTAAACTAATAAGATAAAAATCATTGAACAATAATGATTAATATTAAAACAGATATTTGCCTATCTCCACATAATCTAAAATTAAATTATTGTCAAATTAATAAGTGTCTTGGTAAGTAAATAATAATTTAATCATGACCCAATATCTAAAAAATATAATTGGATATGGTCCAAAAATGTAAGTAACTACCATTCATTACATTAAAATAAAAAATAAGTTAGCATATGTTGCCAATTTTTAATGCTGTTTGAAGGGAACCATCTCAAGGTTGATGGAGGTCATTTATATAATAATTACCTAATAACTTAAAACTGCTAGATTGAATTGTGTATTGATAACACAGGTCAAAAAATAAAATGGTTTTAACAAACCAACATCATAAAATGAATCTCCCCACCAAATCTTAAAATTGACACATACGACCTACAAATAAGTAATAGGTAAGTAAGATTACCTGTTTATCAACCCACAGATCGTTTCAAATAATTGTCATAGGTATACTTAAAATTTTGGTAAAATTAAAAATTAAATGGTAAGCACCAGTGTTTATATTTTATTAAGAGCTGAGGTAAATTTAATATCACTAATTGTTGAAACACATAGTACTCAATTAATCGACAAGTTTATAATTTGTAGAAAAGTTGGGCAAGTCGCTCCGTGGAAAATATCTAAACAACGCAAATGACGGAGGAAGGGAGGGAAATTGAAAAAGGGTTGAAAACGAAACTTTACGAAATTTTAAAACGCCGATTCCCCGTCTTAACGTACCTGATTGATTTCCAAAAGTCTGGAGGCGGTCGTACGGAACAGGCTCATTTTTGCGGCTGGGCGATGTCGAAGAAGTTCTAAAAACGAATTTCAAAAAAAACAAATCAATAAAAACAACGACCAAATGAGATTCAAAAACTAGTGTTTTTCGTCCAACACCACAACCATACGTACAGAAAATTGTAATCAAAACGTGTTTGATTTCGAACACGCGCACCCGTTTGCGGAGCGGTTGGTAAAATGGCGTTGAGCTGCGGCGCGAGCTGGTCGTGAAAAGGTAGAACGTTAAACGAATTCCGGAGTCGGGGGTTTAGAGTTGCAGTAGTAGAATACGATCCTGGCGGCGGCGGCGGCAGCGGTGAGCGAGATAGGTCGGTAGGATGCCCTTCTCGATGTTCCGGTGTAGCCGACACATCGTCCACACGCATGTATGACACAACGACGACGTCACGAATCGTTCGATACTGATGATCTGTTTTTCGGTCTCGCCAGTGTGACCACTAAAACGTGCCCGAAATGTCAGCGCGAACGAGTACGGTAGTAATGTAACCATTCCAATCCAATCACGACAAAATTGAAAATAGTAATAATAATTGCTTGTAGGTAGCCAGGTAGGTACCTAAGTAGGTAGGTACTTGATAAACAATTAATAAGGACTGTAAATTGTTTACACTTTACAGTATTTCAAAATGGTAATTTTTATACACCAAGTACCAACCATTGTATATTTATATAATCGCAACTACTATGTAGATAAAATCTGCATCGTGATCGCGAACCAAGGAGTCTGCAAGACAGTATCAAATATTAACTATTATCATCATAGGTGTCTTCAGTCATTTCGAATCAAAATTTTTTAGGAATATTTATGTCATCAAATACGAACGATTGGACCTAACACCTAAACAGTAAGCTCTACCGCCTCTACCTAAGTAGAGCTGAATTAATAAGGTTTTTACCACCATAAAGGTTATAGTAAATTTGTCACCTAATTTTAAGAAATTAAGAATTTAAAAATATGACATGACTCTTGTTCATCGGAAAACTCTGATGTGAAAATCTATAAAAATTAAAATTGAAAATATTTTATACATACCAATACATATCAAAATTCTTAAAATAATTGTCAAATTTACGAATTTCAAAAATAACAATACCTAGGTAAGTACCAATTATTTAAAAAATAAGATAAAAAATTAGATTAATTTTCTGAAAATTGCACTATTTAGTATATATTATTATTTTGTCAGTCATTTAATTACCTATGCTATTGCTTTTATAAAATTAAATATGTATCCGACTAATGCAAAACCATAAATCATAAATCACAACAGAACCAAAAATAAGATTCAAAAATAATACTAAAATAATATACTAAGGTAACCTAACTTATACTTAGGTGTTGGAAGGTATTTATCTATAATATCTACTAATTTGATTTACTGATCTATTAAATGCCTATAAAAACTTTAATATAGCCATAATATTCTGAAAATTGTATCATGTATAGAAAATGGTTATTTAAATATTTAGTGAAAATTTCAAGTATCTGCATGCAGTTATTTATTTTTTAATCATAATGAAATATCTAAAATCATCTGAGGAAAACATTTACAGGTGAATATAAAATTCCATTAGAATTTTAAATTTAAACGCTCATAAAAAAATAATTTGGTTTTTATTTTTTTCTTTATATTTATATATATCCATATAGGTTTAAAAATGCATAAATTATCTTGTAGCTGTACCGTTTTACCCACTAAATACAACCATAATGTATCAATTTAAATAATAAATTAAGTGATAATCAGTGTTTATATCAGAACTGATAGGTATTATTGTATTAATAGGTAAGTAAATATTGTTAATTTAATAAGGAAACAAGGAGAAAGCAACTATTAAAAATCGTACGTATCAGATATTAAAAAAATCTAAATAAATATTATTGAAATTAGTTAATTAATACCTACTTTATGCATTGAAAAAATTAAAATTGAAATAATCTTAAAATAATTATAACTATAAGCATATACAGGTAAAGATACATTGTATATTTTTATGGATATGATAAAAAATATACAGGTTTTTATTAAGAAATATTTATATAAATAGGAGGTATGAACAAATTAAAATATAAATATGTATTTATAAATGAAAAAAATTAAATCATATGATTAAAAATGTTTAACATTCTATTTTTGTTGTTTATTGAAAATTATTATTTAAAAAAAAAAAAATACAATATAAATTGATAATATTTACATTTAAAACTTAAATAACTGTACGTATTTTGTGAGTCATGGCATAATAACTCAATTTTTTTGCAACTTTCTAAATAATTAAGATTTAAATGAGATAATTTTATGCTATAAATATTTGCTTAATTTTATTTTTTAATATTTAAATATATATGAAACTGACTTTTGGAAGTAGTAGTGATGCTATCGAAGGATTTCGATGGTAATAAACCTTCTATGGAAAACACGGATCATTTTCTAAAAAATGCAAAAAAATTGGTCCAATATTTTTTTAAGTCTATTAATTTAGGATTTATCAACATTAATTTTTATGTATATATATTTATTCATCATAGGTACACACTTTAATGTGTATGTGTAAATAAGGAAATAACACATCCAAACTCTAGTTAAAAAATTAAACAATTATTTAATTAGAAGCTTTGATTATATATTTTTAATTTAAGTTGTGTGAATACAAATGGATTTCATTTAAGTTTTATAAATTCAAACTTGTATATATATTTCTTCCATTATTTCTTTAAATTGAATACAATTAACATTCTTCTCAATGAGATTAAGGAGTATATAATCTCCTACCTAAAAATAAAAAAATGATTTGTTAAATGTTTAAGTTGAAATTTTATCTTAAATGCTTAATAATAATCTGTTAAATGTTGAGGTTAATTTAATATATTGAGACAGCGAAACTAGACACTTCAAAAGAACAAAAGTAGTTGATTAGTAAAGTAGCAATTTGGTAAATATACAATAGTTATAATTAGTATAATACATATCCATATACATTTTTGAAAGAAAATGGTAGAATTTTATGGACTAAAATAATATATTAAAATTAGTTAGATTATTAAATAAAAATAACTATTAACATAATTATAGTTATAATATTTAAACATTTAAACTGATACACACAATAATAAGAAAATATTCCATTTATTTTGGAAAAGGGTCTTTTTATACAAACATTTTGATTTTGTTTTATTTTTTATAACTCAGATTGTTGAGACAACTAAGGAAATGTCGAAAACTTATAATCATAATAATAATTATTATTATACACAAATATTAAAAATTTGGTATTAAAAACTCATTAAATTAAAATTTTTTTTTCATATTCATGGATTTATCAAAAATTACGGGGAATTAAAAAAAAAAAATTAGCTATTTCTCAGCTGTACATTAGGTGTTATGTAGCTATTATAGGTATGTTAAATTTAAATTCAATGCTATACTATCGTATTCGTATACAAAAAACGATTCTGAACGGATGGTCTGTCAGTCTACATCATTAAGTGTATTTCATGATATTTTTTTTGACGTAGCTATTAAAGTTATTTATTTTACTTGGTATACATTTTTAAAATGTTGCGAAATTCAAAAATATTGCATTTATCAAGTTATTAGTATTTAATTATCATAATAATATATATTTATATCATATTATTATATTATATCAACTTATATAACTCAAGATTTAATAACATCTTTCTGTAAACACAGTAACAGGAAAAAGATGCATAGTATAAATAGATAATATCTTAAAATAATTCAAAAATTTCATTATGTAATGCTTGTAGTAAAATTCATAATAATATGATATGCGTAAAAGATTTAAGTTTTCACAAAATATGTTTTTAAATTATAATAAAACAATTAATATTGTTATATTATTTATTGTCTAAATAAGTAATTTCGATCCACTTAAAATGTCTTTAAAGAATAATTATTCTTATTTATTTTTTAGAGTTTTGGATATTGATGCATTTTAATTGCCCAAAAAGATGATGACAGACAGAAAAAAAAGGTATTTCATTATAGGTAGGTACTTAATTACTTCATAATATCTATTTAAAGTATAACATAGTTAATTATACATACTTGAAATTTATTAATCAACTTTGAAATTATTTGTTTATTATTTGTAAATCTGAATATGTTTATCAGTAATATTTTCTTCTTAACTATTTGCGTAATTATAACGATTTTATAGATCAATGCAAATACGGATGTTATAGCAAGTATTAAAAACCATATCCATAATAATAAGTAAATTTTTTCGTTCAAAACGTTTTGAGAGAGAATACACATAGCATCTACGTCTTGAATAGTGCCAGATGGTCCATATTTGAAAAAATTACATTTTGTAATTCGAGGGAAAATAATTTCCATTGGATTTAAGTCGTTATTAGGATGTTGATAGTATTTTAATATTTTGATTCCATAAGTTAAAAATGATTCATTGAGAAACTTATGAGTGATGTAAATATTGAAAATAATGTTGAATATGTTTAATATTTCACAGAAAATATAACTAAATGCGTAAGTATTGTGAGTATGAAAGCTCTCAATGAAATATTGTACCTGTAATTTAAAATGTAATATTTTATTAAAAATATAAAATTTCAAATTATGCTTATTAAAATATTCACATTTTTTTTTATTTATTGAATCTTGAAAATTAGGGCGTTAAGTTACATTTTTTTAAAAATTATTCGTTGAATAATGATACAATTAATTATTATAACTTAGTTATAGATCTTAAGTCCACCAAGAAATTATATCTATGTATAAAAATATATATTTGAGATTCTTACGATGAAAAATATGATGGAATTAAAATAATTTATTATTTTATTATATTTATTTAAATAACAATTTAAACATTATAATAAGATTTAAGAATATAATTAAAATGCAAAGTAAAATATTAAGTATATTTTATGAAGTGTTGAGTAATAAAATAATGTAAAATTTAGTTAATTAAAATACTCAATACGTTATTCTTATGGATTAAATATATTCATGATTATAGATCTAAGTTTGTATTTGTTTTTACTTTTTTTATTTAAAATACAAACCAATCTATTTTGTTTTAAATGTCTTGTTTCATCAGAACCCACAAAAAGTCCATGCATATCACTTGCGATCATACGTATTTTTCCTCCTTCACATATTTTCCATATCCAATGGGGCACATAAAATGTAATAGCTTGAAAGAACAGCATAAATGGTACCCATTTATAGTATGAATGGGACCTAATATTTTTTTCGTTATTTTTTATTTTAAATAGATTCAAATCTGGTTTGTTATTATATGTGTATACATTCGACATCCAGCAATAACTATTTATAACTTTATGCATTTGTGTATTTTTTGATAAATTTGTCATGCATTGTATCGGATTTCCTTTATAAACATATATATATAAAATAAATAATGAATATTATATTAGTATTTATTTATTCTATTACTTAACAATATCCAACACATAGTAATCAACATACTTACCTATAATGGCTATAATATGTAAACAATTTTATTTTCACTAATTAACTAGAAATTTAGTTTACATTTTCTGAACATATCCATTTGACATAATTAGGGAGCAAACCTATGTTTTATAAGCTATATAGCTAGTATTATTAAAACACATAAAGTTATATAATATATTAAATTTTAATTAAGTTAAGATAAAAGAAAAACTTAAAAGATAGGTATAGGTATTTAAAATTAAAATAAAATTTCATAATTTAGTTGATACATGGTTTGTAAATAATTTAAAAATAACAAAATGTATATTATTCGTTCTTAAAAAAACTGTTAATGTAAATTAAAACATTGTAAAATCTATATCAGTCTATAGAGATAATTAATTCTTATATATTTATATAATGATTTAAATTATAAGTTATACTTAACAGCTTATAGTATAGCTTATAGTTATAGCTTAGTTAGCTGCTAACTAAGTTTTAATACTAAAATATTATATATAATATTATCTATGCTTATAGACTCTAATCTACACTATTTATACTATATTTTACAGACTAATATAAAAATCTCTAGCATAAGATAAGCAATTTCCACATACTATTCACACCTCTATTCCAGAATGAAATATCATTCCATTAAACTTTTCGGTAACCTTGTCAAACGTCTAAAACGTAAATTATCAAGAGATTTTCTTATATATATATCTTCATCCCTCTCTATTTTATGTAAATACAAATACTCATGTTCAAATTTAAAATACATAATATAAAAATTATTTTAGACCAAATTCACCAAAGATATTTTTAGTCATGCTATCAATTATGAATTATTATATACCATGTACTATACATTCATACACCTAGTGACTAGAAATGATTTGAATATTTAAATTACAATTATTCATATTTCATATTAAATTATATTAGTAAAATTAAGTACCTAAGATATCAAATAAATTTTTTTAATAAATTTAAAAAAAATTTAGGATTTAAGTTACCTTATCATCTGCCAATTAGCATATTAATATATCTACTAACTTTTCGGTTCTACATTTTTTACTTCTTGTAAATACTTAGCAGTAGTGTATTGGTATGCGGGTATACTCCGTATAATCATCAGCAGATTTTCGATTTTCAGCATATACCCAATGTAAAATATCATTTTATGGGGATACGCTCCTAAAATAACTTAAAAAGTGAAAACCAAATAAAACTTATTTCATAGTTCACAGGGAAAATTTTTTACAATATTTTAATGAATTATTTACCTTATTTATCAGTGTACGCTGTACTTACTGTATTTTAAAATAAATTTATTAAATAACATTTAATAAATTATCCTTATAAAGCATTCAGTTTTATAATTTAGAAAATAGTCATTTGAATTATCGACTAATGTACATTGATGTATGAATATATTAAAATGAAATTTTCAAAAGAATCATCTGTTTATAACAATAATTTACAGTAAAGTTTTATTTCCAAAGAGTATCTAAATATCATGCAATACTTAAGTACTTAAGTCTTGACTGTTAGAGCATTCGTTAAGAATTTACAAAATTGCATTGTCCTTATTCATTATGTGTATAGGTTAAGGTTTACTTATTTATTAATTTATAACAAAACTATAAATCGTAATAATACACAAAAAAAAAATTTAATTTAAAAATCGTTTATTGTTTTGAATTTTGAATATTACAATGACACAATGTTGAAATAAGATTATGTGTAATATATGATAACAATGTTTGCCGAACGAGTGGACATTGATGTTTAACATTACCGGTTTTTAATTTTACAGTAATACATACATTAGAAGTTAATAATTATAAACATGATGTAAGGGATTAAGTACATTTTTTCTAGCGTAACGACTAGCGAGAAAAAATTTTTTAGGTTGAATATACATATTTTAGTAGTGCGTATACTCATAAATATATTTACCAATACACCACTGATATTTAATACTTATATATATAATATCAGAAATTATGAAAAAGATTTATTTTATCTTTAAAAAGTTTAAACAAACAAAGGTATTAAGGTATCTGTTTTTTATGTTAAATTTTTAAAAAGAAATAAATCGAAAACTATAATTAATACTTATATATTATCTTATTGTACCTTTATTTACATACAATATTATAATAGTACAATTGATTTAAGTAATTTCTAACACGTGTATGATAAATAAACAATTATAAATGATAATAATAGTACCTATTTATGACAATAATAACTAAAAATAACGCCTTAATTTCTTTTTATACCGTTTGTATAAAATAATTTTATACCATATGTTTTATACTTTGTACCTTTAATACAAACTCACATTTCTATGTATTATTATTAATTTTAACTTTTTAAGACTAAAGCTACTATAATTTCTAAATCCTTGTACCTGTAAATATAACTTTATATTTAGATATATCATGTTAATATTATTGTTTTAACTGTTATTTTAGATTTTAAGCGAAACGATTAAGTTATTGTTCATATTGTTTATAGTCTTATAGGTATTTTTAAGATAATTTTATTTTTAATAAAATTAATCTAATTATTTTAATATTTTTTAAATAAATACTAACCTATTAAATTGATTGATGAAATCAATAGACAAAATGTTAATAAAATATTGGTGGTTAATTTGTAGTGGCATTGGAATATATAATCGTCGATCACAGGCTTATTATAACGTACTTTAAACGATTTTGCTATAGTATTAAATGCTGGGATGGGAATCATATCTTTTGATTAATATTTTATTTGTTTAGTTCTTTGTAAAATATATTTTTAGACAACTCCTGAAAATGTAAAACATCAATTATTAGATATAGATTGAAATATGTGTTATGAGTAAGTGGCTTATGTATGTGTCAGAATACAGATCAGAATATTGATACTAATTTAAATTTATAAAAGTATTGCTTACTACATATTTTATTACTCATAATTAATAAGTAATATATGGTTTTTCTATTTATAGTAGAGTTAAGTAAATTTTGAGCAGAGTGTTAAATTATTGATTTTATAATGATATTTTTTTTTTTTTTTGTTAATATAGTAGATAGATAATAAAAAAAAATGTTTCGATTTTTAACTTTGTTTTTTATAGAAAAATGTATTTAGTTTGTACTTTAAAGATGTCAACATTTTAAAATAATGTTAATATAATTGTGTTTTATACATAATACAATTTTCAAAATATTTTGAGCTATTGATAAACATTCTAAATTTTTAATTTTTTCGTTTGGTCGTAGCTTAAAAAATTGATAAAATAAATTAATCCATATAAGTTTATTTTAAAGATGTGTAAAAATATTTAAAGTATATATGTATAATTTATTTTTAAAGAATTTTAAGTTCAGATCTTGGAACAATTTGTGAAAATATATTTTTCAGTTGAAACTTTTTAAAATATACAACTTTTATGAATAAAACTTGAAAGTTAATTCAATTTCCTGATAACTAGTACATACTGAAATCAAAAAATTAAAAAAATGTGTTTAACCTATAATTTAATTTTCTAAAAATATTTAAAGTTCAAATTTGGATTAAACTTTATATTTAAGCTATGTACTAATGTACTCGTATAATAATATTCATTATTTAGTTAAATATTATATTTGTAGAAATATAGAACTTTAACGTTTCTATATTATTATATTTTATACACATAATGATATTTAAAAATGCAGCGTTTTCAGAAAAAATAAATTTAACATAACAATAAAAATATTATATGATATGATAAAATATAATTAAATTATTGAATTAAATGTGAAAAATATATTATTTTAACTTATTCGATGATTAGATAAAAATACCTACTAGTTAATGTATAGCAAAGCGGTTACTTATACTTTCTTTCTTTTTATTTTTTTGTTTTGACAGGTTATTTTGAAAAGTATAAAAAACTTACCAGTTTTTTGTAGCTAGATTATGGTTATAGTATAAAGGATTCAATAATAGGTTGTACAAATCAAGTAATAATTATTAATTACACAAAAAGTAAAATTTTAGTAAGAAAAAAATTTAAAAAAAAATTATAATTTAACGTAAAATATTTTAAGTGCCAAATTTAAATATATTTACGTGAAAATAAGAGGTTAACTTACACATTTAAAAGTAAGAAAAATAATAACATTTTATGGAATTGAAAGATTTCAAAGCGATATGTTTCATCAGAATATGAATATTTTATAAATTTAATGTAGTAATGTACTAACTCATAGATGTGCCTCACATTAAACAATAATGGTAGCCATGGACGCTTATTATTTTCTAAGTAAAGAATAAATAGTGTCACAGAGTTTCAAAATAATTTTATCTTCTCTTTGGTTTATAAGTTTTTTGTAAATTTTCCTAATTTTAATAACTTGTAAATTTTTCCGATGGTAAACTCTTCTGACTTTATTTCAGTACTATTTCAAGAAAATATTAAAAATGTTCATTTTCATAAAATATAAATTTAAATTTATAATACAATTATATTAATAAGCATAAGTAGAGAAAATAAGTACTTATTAGAAAAATATAAATTTAAATGTATTTGAAATGATTAACAAGAGTTGAGGATTTTCGAAGTTGAAGAAAATGCTGAAGTCCACATTGTTAGTGAATATGACGATAAATATCTGAAAAAAGTATAAAGTTTACTTTATAGTACAGCCATACTTGATTTTCCCACTTGATGGTAGTGTTGATTGTTTATGAAAAAAAAACAAATAACCAATACTTATTTGTCTGTTGATTAAAGCAATACTTTAAATCTGGTTGAATAATTAGCCAACATTCAAATATCTTTTGTTATACTGAACAATAATTATAAACTATAATTTAATTTTTATGAGTTATCATATTGCAAATTATATTATAGTTATACAGATAAGTGATAATTAGTACGACTGCTCATTTAAATAATTTATTTCCATCTAATCAAATTATAATTTGTGATTTATTTTTCATAAAATTAATATAAATCAAAATTATGTTATTGATATTACTATTAAAAATAATAGTGAATCATAGAAATAATAATTATTGTTTATTAGACAAATTTCATTATTTTTTTCAATTTTTACGGAGATTTTGTTAATCTTGTTAGTTGTCCATCTATAAACATCAAAAGCACAGAATCTTAGGTATAAATATACATATATGTAATTATTATACTAAAATAGTTGTGTATACAGCATTATAGTTACAGTAGTATTGTATTGTCCTCTGAAAAACAGGAGTAAAGGTCTAAACAAGACATTGCTTATAATAATATTATACTTGAATTATTTACGAAAATAAATTTAGAATTATATTTTATTGGTTAATGATTTTTGTAGGCAACATATGTTATTATAGTTTTAAACAATAAATATTTTTTTTTTAATAAATGATTATTAATAGTGATATTTTTGTAACTATATACATTATATAGCCTCGAGTTAGCGCCTACGTGTCACGTGATACTGCAATAAATTAATTCGTGCTCTTCAGCACGTGCTCTCGCAAGGTCCAAAATGGTTGCCTAATATTAATATAATATACATTACATATTATATTTTACATTGTACAATTCTGGGCACACCTAGAAAACAACAATAATTATTATTTTTATTTTACATTATCAAAATATTATAACTTATCGGAATAAAATGAATATGATATAATAACATTTCCTTTGTTTATTTATTGTTAATTCCATAACATGATCATTGATCGCCGCACTAACAGACCTTATCTTATTCTCAATACGTAAATAATCATTCATTCGAATAAATAATAGTACTTATGCGTTGAGATTTATGTTTATATTACCATTTATGTGTTTTAAAACATTTTTTGAATTTGAATTTATACAAACTACAATATTTTAAATTATATTTTTTATCATTACACCTAAACATTATAAAATATGAATTATTAGTGAATAAGTCATATTCTTGTTTTATTTTTTATATTGTTCTTAATGTGTATTGTATTAATGATTTGTTATCAATTGATGACGTATATTCTGTTATGATATTTTATTAGACACTGATTTCTATTATTCATATTAATATTAGTAATTAAACCAGTGACGATCTGCGCTTTGACCTAACCACCTGCAAATTCAAGTCAGTTATATTACTTTCAGAAATATAGGTAAGATTTAAAAGTTTATTATTATTAAAATATAAAGAATTTTAAGAAACACATGTGTTTTATGTATTTTTAGTAAAAATAATAGTGGTGACTTAATAAATAGTAATTTACTGTGCTAATTGTTTATTATTAAATTTTTTTTTTTTATTATTAATAGGTATCTTTATATTTAGAGTATGCCCATTATCATTTTACATTTAACATTAGTGCTTCATTTTTACAAACAAATATATTTATAATCATTAATCATATTCATTTATCAATTAGAACAGTAACAAAGAAATCTTAAAATTAAAAGTGATACAAAAAGATTATGTATCCATATAACAGTATAAGCATCGTTAAAACATAGATTTTTTGTTGAAAATATGTATTTGGAAAACTGTTTATTTTTTTCCATAACAAAAGAGAAATTGTTTATTATTTAATCGTTTAACTGCAGACTAAAGTATATAAATATTTTTATTCATATTATAGATCAATTATTTGTGATGAGCATATTCAGACATAATTATTTTTATCTATATTTTCTAACTAAATTAATAATATATGTGTTTTTTTTTTTTATGAAAATTAACATTTAAACAAATCTTATTATAACTTAAGCATTAGAGACACCTCTATAATAACTAAAAATAATTAAGTATTTTTAACATGTATTATAATTATATTTTTGAATTATTATTTATCGCTTTTCGGCCTATCGGCTAAGATCAAAGTGTGATAAAGAATTATTATTTTTTCATTAAAATAATATACGTACACTGAGTGCTATCCACTCACTTTTTTTCATTTTGTTCATTTCGAGTAAGTTAATATTGTATAATTATTATTGAATCACTATTAATTACAGTAATATGATCATCGATTACAATCAGAGAACTATTCTGATTGAAGCTCGATTTACGCAAAAATAATCAAAACCTTGTTTCCCAGTTTTTCAAGTATCTTTATTAACTTTAATAAAGTTCTAACTTAATTCAAGATTATCTGCAGAAGCATATTTCGAATATTAATTCAAATTACTTACACTTATTAAAGAACTGTAACCTATAAACTAAAATTAAATTTATTTTTAGTATAGGTACTTCACTTTAAAAATAGTATAAAATCATAGTTATGCTATAGTTAAAGGTTAAAGTATTAATTAGTAATTATGAGTTTATGACAATTAAAAATATTGTGTCTGAAAAATTATAAACTATGAACATATAAATTTCAATACATTTTGCGTGACTTAAAAATCACAAACTCCATAGTCGCTGAAGAATCTTCATCATATTTGTAACACGAAATTTAAGAAAAAACCTTGTGTACATTTAAATTTTGATAAGTATGTGCTAATTCAATTCAAATAATTGAATTTTTGAGTTGTAGGTACACCTTAAATAAAAATTAGTATAATAATAATATTTCAAAAGTGTATTTATTTTTTTATTTTTTAATTTAGAAACAAAAAAAAATATGATGATATTTAAGAGTTATTTACGAACTGTAAAAAAAGCAAAATTTTATTCAGTTATCTTAGCAATATTTGCACTCGTATTTTATTGTTTGAAGTCAAATAATCGAATTCCACACAAATCGGGTATGTTCTAAAATGTATAATATAGTAAAAAATCTTAACCAAATAACATGAAAATACAATACAATAAATATTAAAATGAATTTTTTTATGGATTTCAGATACTAAACATGCCAGACGTGTTCTATTATCAGTCAATAACACAACAAATCAAAATGAAAAATCGTTTTTTGAAGAAATTTTTATTTTTGAAGAACGCTATCTTACCATATTGTGTACTTCCGCTGTTGCTTTGTATTTATTTTTATTTTTAGGGGTAGTATGCAATCGTTATTTGGTTCCAAGCATTCATATAATTTCTCATAGTAAGTAAATAATATATTAATTTTTTATTTTTATTTCTTACAGAAAATAAAAAATAATACATTTTTTTTTTTTTTTTTTGTTAAACAAGTATGAAACTATTTGACTTTAATTATCAAAATTCATATTTTTAATATAACATTATACATTTCTATAAATATACTATTACACAAAGTTTCTTATCTGCTTGATAAAATTATTTATTTTTGTTGTTGCTAAAACATTGCTGTAAAAACCGAATTTTTTTTTTAATTATTCAGAACAATAATATGTAATAGATAAAATCAGTAATATATTGTACTACTGTTGTTTGATTATGAAAAAAAACACGTATCAATTTATTTAGACTTTGACTTTACAATATTTATAAAGTAATTAGCATATATCTTAGAAATACATTTTATGCGTTATATTGCATAACTGATAAAGTGATAGCAATAACTTTTTTAAGTAGTTCTAAACAGTTTCGCTTATTTTATATCTTAAAAACAATACAACTTAATAGACTTAAAATAATCACGATTATCTATTTAAAACATTTAAGCAATAATTTTATTTTATAAATAGACATTCACTATGATATTGTAATATTATTGTACTATTGTTTTTAAAACTATTATTAATTATCTTATTGGATCTTAATATAAAATTACATAAACGTGTTTATGATGTATTTACTAAAGTAAATATAAAAATACCTAAATTCAAAAGATGTAACAATATAATATTTGTAGTCAATAAATAAAATAGTTATTTATTTATTTAAGTAATAATATTCTCTGTTTTTATAATTTATTTATTTTTTTAATAAAATTAAATACAATTATAAAATAAATTATTGATAAAACTCACAATACAGCAAATTAGACTAAAATATAATATCGATATCATCGGTTATACATGTAAAATACCTACTATATAGTAGTTATTTGTAATCAATGACGATACATAGGTAATAAAAAAATTGTATTTAAATACTGCAGAAATGTATTTATTTTAGAAGTACATTCATAAATCATTATCATTATAATTTATACTAGGTACTAAGAAATTCATTGATTGACTATTCCTGCATGTATTAAATAGAATAAATCAGATTAAAATTTAAACGTTTTTTTTAAAACACTTAATCATTATTATTGTTTCCAACCATTCAGACAATTTAGAGAGTCGGTGTATAACAAATTCTACTGGGATAAATTATTTTAATGGCAAATCATATAGGTATTAATTAGTAATTTTGGCTAAGATTAAAAGAAAAAATAGTGGGTACAAATAATTAATGATTTTTGTGCCTTTATTTAATTTAATACGGTTTTAAAATAAAATTAATATTTATGCATTTTTTCCTTCAAAAAAGTAGCATTGCTATAATTAGGTACTCCTTAATATTGATCATTAGAATAAATGTATTACATTTGAATTAATTGATAAATTATTGCATACGAAAAAAATTCTGGGTAGAGTTGGCTTTATATTTCTAAGGATATTTTATTGGTTATAAATTTAAAAATATTGCATACATTTTATTATTAGTCATTAATTACATAATATATAATATACATAATTTATTTATACGCATAATATTTATAGCTTAAAATTAGTCAATATTTAATATTTTTTTTTCTTAATGTAATTGTGTATAGAAATAAGTAATTGGAGTGATGTAAGAATATTGGACCAATATTTTTCAAGACTTTAGGTTAGTTTATGCAACATGCCTGCAATATAGTAACAAAAACATTAAAGGAAAAATTATTGTTGCACGTTTAAATATTTAATTTTGACTAAATTCAAGTAGATACTTTTAAAAGTTAATATAATCTAACATTAAATTGTTTTAAATAATTTTACAAACAAAACTTATCGCATTATTGTATTAAATGTTCAAATTTTAGATAATTAAATAATTAAAATTTTTATGAATTTATATTTAGATAATTAGATACAAAACAATTTACAAATGTTTATGGTATTGAAGAATTTCATTAATAATCATTGAATTTAAAAAAATAAATAGCACAAATATTATATCATGCCTAGAAAATGCTAAAATAAATATTTGATGAATATTTTAAGTACTTATTTAAATTTTAAGGATTGAAAATTATTAAATAACTAATATAACAAGTATTATGTAAAATATATTCTAGTTTTTTTTTAATTTTTCTGATTACTTTGAAAATTACAGTTAATTTTTATTTTTTGAACCTCATAGTGTCTATTGTATTCTTCATGCTATACCAGCAACCACGTTAAACTTGAAAATGAAAGTTTGTTTTTTATCAAAAACACATTGTTATTATAAAAATATTACGGTTATCGATGCTATGCTCAGAATCTAAAATGTATTACAAATTAACAAATTTGTGTTTAATCAGAAATTTATCAGAAATTTTTTTGATAAGTCTATTACCATAGAATAACTGAAATGATTTCATGGCTTTTATTAAAATTACTTTCTAAATACCCGCGTCATCTTCAATTGTATCGTATTGTATATCACAAGTATCTAATAGATATATCATAAATGCATCTTACCATAAGCCAAATTAATTAAACCGTACATCATTATCAATGTTTGATTTTTAAACAGTAAAACATATTGTAATTCAAATTTCAATAGAGTGAAGAAGATTACCTTTAAACAATGTTTATTTACAATTAAAAAATTTTTAGATTTAACAAATAAAAGTGTAATAAAAAATACCAAAATTCTATGTAGGAACTTAGCTTTAATTTATTAGAAGTATAATTTAAAAATGAAATATATTAATTTAATCTTAAGTAGTGTTTATTGTGAAATAATTACTTTAAATATAACTAATTAGATACAATAGTGTTCATATGATGTGATTTTACATTATTTTTAATAATTTTTAAGGGATGAAGTTGAGTCAGGATGTTGCGGGAGCGTCTGTAATGGCTGCAGCAGTAGCATGTCCCGAACTATTTGTCAATATACTAGCTACGTTCTTTACAGAAGGCGATGTCGGAATCGGCACTGTAGTCGGCACTGGCTTATTTAATATACTCTTGGTTCCTGGACTTTGTGTACTTATGGCATATCAAGAGGTATTTGTTTTTTTTTAGTAGTCTGCGCAAAACTATAAATTATGAATTCTAATACCTTGATACCATACAATTTAATAATACAATACGTACTAAAAAAGATATAAATTAGAATTAAGAAGATAATTAGTGCTAATAAAATGTAATGAAATATTGTTTGTAGGTCATACACTTAGAAATTTGGCCCATTACTCGTGATGTATTGATGTATCTTTTAACTATATCATTATTAGTTTGGTCATTGGCTGATAACAAAGTTTATGCTTACGAAGCATTTATATTAATTATAACTTACGCGGTATATTTATTAAGTAAGTAATCTATTTTTTCTTATTTTTGTGGCTGTCAATAATTCCCAACAGTTCTCTCTTATAGCTCATATTTTGAAAAAATATTTAAATATATTTTTCATCAAAAGAACAAAGTTTTTGAAGGATGCAGTGAAAGTCAGCCGATACTTCCTCTAAATGGTAAATTGGCATGAGAAGTTTGTAGATGAACAGACAAACAGTAATAATATAAAAATGAGTACATATATATATAGATAAGTATGTATGTTAATAACTTTTAGGAGTTGCAGAGAATGGATTTATTGTGCAGGAGCATATTATTTTGCCCAAATGGAAGGACAGACTTCGTGATAAACTATTAAATATCAAAGAATTAGTAGTATGGCCTATAGTCTTAATTTTAAAAGTGACTATTCCTAGCTGTGATAGTTTAGATAGATTATTTTGGATACCTATTACTATGTTTATGTGTATATTTTGGATTGGATGTGGATCGTATTTCATTGTAGAATTGATTACAATTATAGGTAAGCATTGTATAGAAAAACCACTAAGATAATATAATATTATTAAACATAAATATTGTTATTTTTTAAATAAAAATAAAAGCATAAATAATAAAAAAAAATTACCTACATTAAACTATTAAAAAGTTAGTTTTAAACTGTTCATAATCCTAAATAAATTATTTAGGTCTTAGTAATACAACTATAAATTTGATTAACATAAAACTAAATAAATTTTAAAGGGGTATTCTCTTCGGCACAGTATAATTTATCATACTATATTGTAGCGGTTCCCAGCGTAAAATCACACCTATATACGCATGTAAATTAATGTAAGTTTATACAATGTGCACATACCTACGTCAGTTATTAGGAAAATATACTTGTCATTCTGTATAAAAATAATTAAAAAAATAATGGCTTAAAAAATCTTTATTGAATCTAATCACAAGTTAAACAATTTAATGAGATTTTTGACATTGCTTGTCCTCCACGAAAAAATTTATATCTAAATTAAAACTGGATAGTTTTAGCCTTAAATTTCTCTCAAAATTTTTTTTATTCTTTTATTTATTAATAAAAAAAAAAAAAAAATTAAGTAGAAAAAGCTTGTTCACACAAATAAATTGTCGAAAAACCCATCAAGTTTCTCAATGCAATTTTGGTAATAAAGATATGTTAATTTATAGGTAATAATACATATTATTTAACTAAAAACATAGACTTTAGTAATTTTAATATTAAATGACCCACGGTCTAAGGATTGAAAAATGCTGTTATATTGTATACTATATAATTGAGTCAATTGTGAGTTATGAAAGCCATTGCAAGGCGTTTTAAACTAAGATAGTATTTTATTGTTTTCAGAAATGTTTTATCATTATTAATTATGAATGCAACTTTTTGATAGTTAATTTTGATAACTTTTATATGATTAATTCGATTTGGGTTTGAATAGATACTCTATAACACTATAATAGTACAAAATTACTTATTTATAAATGTTATTAATCAGATAAATTATTAATATAATAAATATTAAAATTATTTTTAGGAAATGAATTCTCAATTCCTGATTCAGTTATGGGAATTACACTATTAGCAATTGGTATGAGTGTACCCGAAATGGTATCTAGTATAGCAGTTGCGAGACAAGGTTTAATAAATTATGAAATATACAACACGATCTGTAGGAAATAAATGTATAATTTTAATTTTAGGACAAGGTACTATGGCTTTATGTACCGCACTTAGTTCATCAACATTTGATGTTTTAATTTGTTTGGGTGTTCCATGGTTTATAAAAGCTATGTGGTTCCATAAGGAAAACTCGAGCGCATCCATAAATGTTCACTCAAAAAGTCTTGATGATAGTGCAATAGCTGTGATGTTGAGTACAATTGGTTTTATGATATTGATGTACGTTAAAACATTTTCATTAACTAAAAAAGTATGTATAATGTTTTTTTTTTTATTTATGGTTTAAATTTTAATAACTTATATAATTTTAATTGGTGTACTGTATGTTTGAGATTTTTTTTATGAAACAACTCTAAACTTAAAATAAACTCCAAAAAATTTCTATTTGACATAGTTGTATATAGTAATAATAGTAAATAATTAATTAAACATCATATTTATTCTTCGTTTAAAAATTTTAAATGTATAATATTAGTTATCCGAAAATTTAAAAAAATAAATAAGTTTTATCTGTAAAATTTTATTAATCAAAAACATTGTAACAAAAAATACTATTAAACAATTTAATTTTCAAACTTCTGTCCTAGTAAGATAGATGTATTTTCATTATTAACTCGGATTGATTTCTGAAATTTTACATTTTCCAAACTAGACGCACTTTCTATTTCATCATCAGATATTATTCTTCATGAAATTATTAATACAAAATGTTTTTTATCCTGACGAATACAATTTGTTAGAGAAATATCATTTTATAATACCATAGTAAAGGTGAGTAGTAGGTTATAAAAATTATAAAAATACTGTTGCTTAATTGAATTAAATTATATAGGTATAGCAATATCAAGTAAAAAAGTGTCTTCATTGGGTAGCTTTATTTTATCAACTAATTCATGTTAACCATATACTATAAAATAGCAAGGCTCAAAACCTTATTGTTTATTTATTTATTTTTTAAATGTATTTGTTTAAAAAAAAAAAAGGCAACCAATGATCATAACTAAAAACATATAATTTGAAACATAAGAAATTATCTTTTTAGATTTTTGTGTTGAATGTTATATATCATCCTAGTATTTGATGACTTAATAATAGTTTTAATAAAAATACTTGCTAAAACGTTTTAAATACTCATGTTGTCAAAAAGAAAATAACATTTTTTTTTTTAATTTTTTAGTCAGGTGGATTTCTTGTTTTTATTTGGTTATTCATTTGTTCAGCCATGGTGTACAATGAATATGCAACGCACTGAGAACAATTTGTGAAGCTTAATTGCTCAATCATTTTGCGTGAGTTGATGAACAATGACATATAAATGGTTGATGCCAACGTTGAAATGAGCAGCGGATTATTGATTTTGTTTCTGAAGACTGAAATATCAGTACCTATTTTTGATCATAAGTCAGAAAGACGGAACCGTCTTATCTTGTAGAAATAGTTAAGACAATTTTAATGTTGAAATAAATAAGTACCTATTGTATAATAATATCGTGTATGTTATTAAATAGTTTATAAATTTATAATAATGTGCTGTGATTAGACATATTACATATACTTGTGTTAGTTAAAATTATTGAAAGGAACTTCTATTAAATATAGCTTATGTATACCTCAGTTCATATTATATGTTTAAAATTATTTTTTTTATTTTTAATATTGAAAATATAGTTTTATGTATAACATTTTCTATTTTGTAAATGATTTAAAATTGAAAATAAGTTTTAATTTAAGTCATAACAATGAAATATATAAGTTATATGTCAAATATTTAAACTAAATAATATACATAACCTTTGTTAGACATATCCAGTTATAGTTAATTAAAGATATAAAATCAAGCAATTAGACCAGATTGAATTAACTATCTTTGATTGAGCGATATTTATCATACATTTTGTTATATATTTCAATTTTATTTTGTATAAATTAATTAACCTTCACTGTGATTTAAAAACCTATGAATGCCAATTTTGATATCTGTATAATACGTATCAATTTTCCTCACCCCACCTAACTATGTTTTTAAGATTCAATAATCTGTTGGATACTTTTAAAATGATTTGTCAATATTAGTAATAATAAATTTTTTTATCAAATATTATTGAATAACAACCTATACTTTACTATTTTTAAGTTTTCAATATTTTATTAATTTTTAAAAATCATAATGTCTATGTATCTTGTATTGAATTTTTTATTTAGTTACAATAAACTGTTTAAAATAAACAATTACTTATATAATATGATAAACAAATATTTTAGCTATTGATTAATAAGTATCTTAAAATTGTAAAAATCATTTTGATTATTTTCTTTAAAAATCCCTGAAATTTTTAAAATAATTTTGGTAGTATATTTAAGTCACTAAATGATGGCTTGTAGATAAATTTAACTAACTCGCAATCAAGAATTTAATTTTTTTAATTAATATTTTTGACGGCGAATTAAATTATGTAATTATTATATTTTTTATTTTGAATTTGCTCTTTTTGAATAATCATGTATATTAGGTTTTGATGACTCCTAAAACTTTCTTAGTTCTTAATTTACCATATTAAAATATTAATTGATGATTTTTGTGTTAAAGTTCTTAAGTGTTAGAAAATTAATATTATTATAAATAAAAATTATTTTTCTTTTTAAGTTATAATTTAATTAATTAAAAATTTTTAATTTTTTTTTTTTTATAATTATCATTTTTACATGTACAATATTAAAATTAAAAGATAATTTAAGCAGTATATCATAATATTAAAACATAATATTGTAGTTTTAACTTTTATAAAAATTGTAACATGACTATGTTTTCTTATGTCAAAGAGAGCTTAAAATAATAATAATAATTAAAAAAAAAACATTTCATTTTATTATGTATAATTACAATTACTAGCATTCAGTTTTCATGTTTTATGTTATAATTATGAACCTAAAAATAAGTTTACAAATAATTATATACATAGCTTACTTAATGTAATATTACGTTTTTGCGCTTTTATTAAATTCCCCCCGTCTCGTAAAAATAGCTACTTAAATAGGCACTCAAATTTTATTCCATTCATATTTTTCGGAACACTTGTTACTGAAATGATTAACACTGACAGTTTTAAAATTTCAATTAAAATAATAATTTAATAATTCGAAAAGTCTATTTAATTTAGTAAGCTATATAAACTTTGAGAACTTATAAAAGATGATTAATGGTAACAAATTCATTTTTTTTATTATAAGTGTTACAACATTTATAATAACTCTAAAACAATTGAGATAGTTGAATGCATTTTTTAAATGTATACTTTGGTCTAGTGACTACTTAGTACAAGTTACAACTAGACAAATAGACAAAAAAAAAAATAAATGTATATAATGATGAAATATTACAATAATTATAATCATTATATAACCAATGAACCTGCAGTGCTGCATTTTCTATTGTGAGTAATACGCATAATTAAAATATAAATATTTGTATAGAAGAAGAGAGTGCAATAAATTGTTTTTGAAGTGGCTTATTTAATGGTGAGTATATTAATTTATTGTGATCCTCAGGTTAATTATTCAAGATAGTAGTAAATTTTTGTCTTATATTAAAACTGATAATGTAATATGTAATATCCTTAGTAGAACAAGTAAGCTAATAAGTAATTACAAATATTATATATTATAAAACAAAAACGAGCATTATCACTAGGTTTAGGGATTTCTAAAGAAGAAAGAATCTTTTAATATAACAGTAGACAGCATTATTTACATAGTTACTATATGAATATGAAATTTTTTATACTAAGCCACTAAGTTATATCTTAAAGAAAGATTTTAAAATTCAAATTTGTCTAAAACTTTGGATTTTTTAATTTCCTATTGATTGATAATTTATATGTATATTCGTTTATAAAAGTATAAAATTTTTTAAATTACCATTAATTAAATCAATTTATAGTAATAAGGGGGTGTTTAGAATTGATAGGATACTTTCCAATAATTTTCAAAACAATCGGGAAAAACTAAATAAAGTTTATGAAAAAACAGAAATAATTACATAATACCAGTTTTTAACAAAATGTTCTTTACAATTAAAAAATAAATAATCCAAATTTAACACATCTATTTTAGTGATTTCTCAGTGATGAGCTACTCATTTCACATCTGTCGTGCAATGTTATATAATTACAAAACCGCATAAACAGCAGTTTAACCTTTAATTTCTTTATGTTTTTTTGTTTATTTTATAATAGTTCTTACTCTCTTAGTACCCAATGTATTATTGTTATATAATATAAGAATGCGTGATACTTATATATCATTGAGTTATTGAATTAAACTTAAACTTGAATCGAGTATTATTGTAATTATTACTTTTTTACATTGAAATATCTAATAAAATAGTTTTTGGTGTACTGCAAGTCAGCAAAGTATTATCGATATTCAAAACGAATACTGAAATAACACTGTGTGAAATGTTAAAAAATAAAACAATATTAAAAGTAACGTAGCCTGTAGGTATCTATTTTATTTTTAAAATGTACCTGTACATATTTTTATTTTACTAACATAAACATATTCCCATTAATAATGCATGTATTTATGTTTTAACATTAAATTTTGGATCAACTTTTCTAGAAAATATTTTTGATTACTGTATTCTAAATTCTAATTTCTAGTACAGCAATAAAAATAGTGTACCAATGTGTCATTAATTATTACATATGATTATAGTCTATCGTATATATTATATTTGTTATAAGTACTAACTGTTGTAAGTCATGGTAAAATTCAGCTCAGTAGATTCGACTACCATTTAACCAAAAATCCTCTGATGTTAAAAACCAATGATGATCTTTTTAAGTTTAAAACGTTAAATACTAATATGGGAAATTTTTGGGTACTACTGAGAAATAAGGTGAGAATATCTTTGTAAATACTATTTTCGATAAAATATATTTTTATAATGTAAATAATAAAATGTCTTTCTTTGATCATAACTACAAAATTATAGCTTTTATAACGATTTAATATGTTTAATGTGTTCTATCCAAAATAAATTCAAATATTCTTTATTAATAATAAAAAAATTCTAACAGTAGGTATTTAAAAAAAAAAAAACAACACACAAGTAATTATAATCATTACAATGTACATATAGCTAACTGATAAAAACTGATTATTTCATAAGAATAGAATTATATAATTTAAATATAATTATGGTTATAGAATAACATTTATGGTAAATCGTAATTATTATTGATGATATTATTATAATAATAACTTTATTACGGAAGTAAATTTCAATTTAATTTTTACAGTGACAGTTAGTAGAATTGTGATACAGCTAAAATTAAATGATAATATGTAATAATATATATTAATAAATTTACAATATAAGCACTTATATGAATATATAAAAACAATAAATTATGTAAAATTCATTAAAAATATTGGGAACTACAGTATTAATATCGAAGTTATTAACTATCATATTTAAATAAGTATTAAGTATTTAATAACAATATAAAGCGATTAAAATAAACTAATAATACTAAAAAAACTAGGAAATATTTTATTGTATGTATTATTTATTTAACAGGTTAAACCATACATATTTAAGATTTTAATATAATAAAAAAATAATAGAAACTTAATTTTAACGAAAATAAAAAAATTTACAACGCGTATTTTTATATTATTATAAGCAAATGTATTGAATTAATAAACTGGAGAAGTTAGTTTGCTGTGTAGTATATAGGTGTACGTATATATATACCTTTTCATTTTGAATCTCACTGACAGATAATACTACTACCAAACTGTTTTTTTATTAACTTAAAAGCCAATATTAACATATCATAGAACGATATGAATAGGTTTTCGGTATAAAAAATTAATTTTTGTATCCTAAAATAATGTTATAAAATGTTAACATAAACGCTTTAATATTGTGTATTTTTAATATTTTTTTAATTCTGGTATGATTTTTTTATTAGAAATTTGTATTTATACTTGTAAATAATTATAATGATTATTTATAACTATTATATTTTCTTAATTTTATTGTCTCTCAATATAGAACCACCAGGTTTATTACTATATTGTATATATTTACACTAAGAATAAATTATACTTTAGTTTCACCAATCACTAAAATGATGTTATTAGTGAACGAAACAAAAATTGAATTATTTAACTTTTCTTCTTTGGAATTAATTATGTTAATATAATTTTTTGCATGTATATATGTTTGTTTTATAAGTAATTTATTATAATTTATATGACTATTAATGTTTTTATTATTATAAACGAGTATATATAGTACTTGGATCTCATGATCCATTAAAATTTTAAATGAATAAGAAGGTTTATGGATGGAAAGATTGAAATAATTTGAAGTTAGTTGATTTGTTAGATTTTCAGCGGTGAATTTCATTAAAAAAATCTAAGGACAAACAAACTGTTTTTTAATTAAGATTTTATTTTCAATCGAAATGTTTGAAATAGTTTTAGAAACATTATTTTTGAAATAC